CTGACATTTTTGAAGAAATTGATTTCATTGTTACGAGGTGATAAGGTTTAATCCATTCTGGTACTGATAAGCCCTCAGCTTTCTTAAAGAGCATTAAAATATCATAATTAGGTATCGYAAATTAAAAATATGTATCAATATTATAATTTATAAATAAATTTGTGTTTTTTTAAACTTACACTACACAAAAAAAGGTCGTATAGAAGAAAAACATCTCTGCTGTTGATCGGTTGTCCACAATTTTCAGATAAAAACGATATCAATGCTGTTATGTCTGCTGAATAATCTATTATTTGTGAGAGGTTTGCTGCAAATGAATCAATAGACGGACATATTCCCATACTACCGATTAACTGTGTAAAACAGCATACAATTTATATTGATTAGAAATAGTTATAAAACTATGAACAAAAGATTTTTGCTTTCATAAAAAGTAGTTTGAATTAAGTAAGTAAAAATTTAAAAGCCAATGAAAGTCTATTTTCCACACCTAACCTAACTTTTATGACAGTATAAGAGGATATTTATTTATTTTTTGCACACCAAATAAATGTGATGTTATTCATACAGGCCTGTCGGTTGTCAGCCCTTATAACTTAATAACCGAATGTTACATAGTTACATAGTATGCTTTTTATAAATATATATTTTACAAAATATTACTAAGAAAATATTCTCTTGTATGTTGTGTAATTTTTATTTATTTATATTTTTTAATTTTTAAGTTATCATTGTTATAAAGTAAAACGTATTCGCTTTTATAATAATATTAAAAAAAAATATTTAGTAGATACATACTGTTCCGCGATCTGGTGAATTACTGTAAATAGGAATAGGTTGCCATACAGTTTCTGAGTTTGACCATTTTTGATAATTTTTTGGTGGATACATTCCTGTTAAAACCATTGCTGCTGACATGAACGTCCGACTGGTGTTGGTAGTTTTGACTAAAATTTCGTTTTCTAAATACAAGTCACTTAAGAAACCATTATATAAGCGTCGAAATAACTGTCCTTTTTTGTACATATTTTGCTTTCCCTTCTGTTAATTAACACCGGAAAAATATTATAATATAATTCAGTGAAAATATCTTTTTAATCTATATAAATATATTTATATTATTTGGTGTTCTCTTTAGATTTTAACCAAAGAAAACCAATGCATAGTATATAGTTATGCTGTATACGTTATA